AGAAACCGATTAGGAAAGGCCTATTAGCCAAAACGGCTATCATATTCGGAATCAGCATGATCGATTACCTATAAGCTACCGTATTTCGTTAGAAAAGCGATTTGACAGTTGGATATGTTCCCTCGTCAGATAAAGACGTGTCTTTCTTCACTTCTCCTACTTGACTTTTTTGAATGTGATCATTTTACTGTTATATATAAAGCTGTAATCTTATTCATAAAAGAGAGTGGTCGTTTCGACCACTGAATCTTACATTATCTACGTGTTTTCTTTTCTTTTCTTTGTTATGATTTGTATCTAGATGGCTTCTACTCTTCTCTCATTCCTTTTCGTTTTTTTTTTGTTTTTTCTTCTACATAACTATATATTAAAACACATAAAGGGGAATATAGATATATCTATGTCACACTGTGTACAGCACTCTCTCTTCTTCTACTTTTAGTGTTGTTTCTTTCTTTTTTTTTTCCTCTAGTATTGCTCAAGTGGTTACGCATTTCTTATTTTTATTCTCTTTCTCTCCCTAGAAAATACACAGGTGCAATGACCCTGTCGATTCCGTGTGTTTCTTGGGAATTGTAACAGTGTTCTATTCTAATAAAGATTAAACCAAAAATAATCATAAATTTTTTCAAAATTAATAAATAAATAAAAAATGAAACGGAACAACAGAAAATGATCTTCATTTTTTCGAATTTTCTTTGTCTGATTTTTTTCTATGAGAGTTCCAGAGTGCCCAGAAAAATCTGATTTTCTAGAGAGTACCATTGGAATAAATGACTATCATCTTCAGAATTTCGATAACCCATTTGCTTTCCTCTTACCTATTTGATTGGGAGGAGTTATGAAAAACTTTTGATGATCATTCCATAGAGACATTGACCCAATCTCATGCTAGAGTTGAGTAACTAACTTGTGAACGTACTTACCATATTTTAAGATGAATATAAATGATAACATATTCTTTCTGGCAGCACTTAAGCGTTACTTAAGTAAATAATTATATCTTCAGTGTGAATTTTCTCGGTTACGTAATCAGCTTCAACTGGCACGTCGAAAAAGACAACATGCTTTACAAAAACGATATCGTCTGTTAACTCTTGTATTTTTATTTGACTCTGAAATGTATCATCAATCAACCCGAACAGTTTGGTCTTATAAGAAAAATGGAGAATGGTGGAGAGTAGTAGTTCCTGTATTCACTGCACGTCAGTTCAAAGAAAATTTGGCCTGTGCCTCAACGTATCTCGAATTGGTCAGATTGTTGGGACCTTTCTTGAAAAAGAAAACACCCAGCTTCGTCAATGTATATCGGTTGAAAAGCGGATAGCTTGTTCTTTGTATATGTTGTCATCGTCAAGCGAACTGCGAACAGTAGCTCATCTTTTCGGTATTGGCAAGTCAACAGTCGCTCAAATTTTACATGAATTTTGCGAATGTTCATAGTTTTTTTCATAAATTTATTCCATTTCCACATACACCAGACGAGATTCGAGATACAATAAAAGAATTTGAAGACAATGATGGTTATCCGATGTGCCTCGGTTGTGTTGATGGCACACACATAGATATTCAGCCTCCCGAAGGCGAAGAAACTGACTATTACAATTATAAAAAATTTCATTCCATTGTTTTACTTGGTAAGATTCCGACCCTTTCTAGCAGTCTTTCTCTCATAACTCTGAGACAGTACATTACTCAAAAGTGTGTCAAATTTACATTAAATATATAATTTTTGTATGACCGTTTTTTGGTAAAAGTTTACGTCTAAAGCTTATCTTGCGCCTTTCGTCCACACGGATGTCTAAAAGCATGAAAAAGTGCTTTAACTAATACTTAAACGACTGCAAACTCATCATTTTTTTCACATATTTGCAACTTTTTGACTTAGAATTTGACACTCTGTTGAGTAAGAACGGTATTAGAATTCGCGAAGTAAGATATATAATATGTGGGGTTGATTGTTCTAGCTGTCGTTGACGCATCATTGAGATTTACTTATGTTAATGTCGGAGCACCCGATCGCTGCAATGATGCTCATCTGTTTAATCATTCTTCATTATCAACATTTCTTCAACAACCATTATTTTCAAATATTAAAACAAATATTCATCAAACACCGTGTTATGTCAGGAGTCGTCCCGGACATAAATTCCTTCCTCTTCATTTTCTCTCATTACTTAACATTTCATCACACACACACAACTCTATTCTTTCCTCTTCTTTTGTCACCCACACACCATTCCATTCCTTCCTCTTCTTTATCATTCCACTACCCACACACCACTCCATTCCTTTCTATCTATCTTTTGTATATATATACGATTGATGGTTATCTAAGTTCAGTGTGTATTTTCTCTTTTGTTTTACAATAAAGAGGAAGAGAACAGTAGAAGGCCGTTCTATATTACCTAACTACCTAACACACCGGTGCAAGTTCATTTACTGGGAGACTCGGCTTTTCCTTTGACAGCAAGTCTCATGAAACCGTATCCAGAACGACCAAATATGCCACATTATCAAGCTAATTTTAACTACCGTTTGTCTAGAACTGGAAGCGCAATTGAACGTGCCTTTGGTCAATTAAAAAATCGATTCAGAATGGCACATAAAAAAATAGAATTTAGTATTAAAAATATTGATAATATTATTAAAACTATTTGTGTATTACACAATTTTTGTGTTAATACACATGATAATGTTGAGACTGAATGGACCATAAATGAACCACGATACCGAAAACCTTTATGTAACAATGCAACAAATAATGCCACGCGAATGAGGCACGCTCTGGCCATTCATTTTGAACAGAATCCGCTTGTTTAAGTTTTAAAAAAAAGAGAAAATAGTCATCTGCTTCCTTTACATTATATAAAGTCAAGGTTAAAAAATGTAATGGAACTTGCATAAATAAAAAATACTAAACAGGCTTGACTGCTTAACGTCGTCATATCAAAAGAATTTACAGATACTGGAAAATATTTTCAAAAATCTATGAAGAAGGATGCTCCTCGAAAATAGTTAGGCTCTATTGAAAATTCTCAATGAAAGATAGGCTGTAGGATATATGCATCTCTTTGGCTCTTGAAACCGAGAAAAAAAGTTCGAATCACGGTTTCCTTTTACTGGAAATCTGTTTCTCACCAATTTTCCCTCTTCAGATAAAATTCCATAATAACGGCAACAAAAGTCATGTTGTTATGGTAGTACCTTCTTTTCCGACACACTATATATGATTATCTTATTGCATATCTGCATTATCCTACACTACTGCTCAAAATAATAGAGGTAGGAACTGAAATTCTATTGGAACATTAACTTCATAGTTAGACACGCAGCCTGTTTTATAAAAAAACTTAAGTTAGACTTAAGTATAAAATTGATTTAAGTCAAACTTAAGTCAAAAAAGACAAAGAACTTTTTGGACTTAAGTTTGACTTAAGTCTAAGTCTGACTTAAGTTTTTTTATAAAAGTGGCTCCAGACTTAAGTAAGAAAAATGTGTAGTGTAGACGAGGCCTAAGGTAATGGAAAAGAACTTAAAAATTGTTTCCATATACACCGTAGTATTTTTCAATCAATGAAACTTCATCTTCTGCCTTTATCAAGGATTGTGTAAAAGAATCAGAAAGTATGAACCATCTATTCTCCTCCAGCAATCAACCAATCAGCTGCAAAGATAAGCTAGAGGAGCGCTCTCCTCTAGCCTTCTCTTCTAACTTATCTTAACCGCGGCACACTGATCACTAATAATGGTCGTTACCGGCAAAATAAATTGGTGAATGCTGGCAACTGAGTAGCAGCATCTCAACGTTCTGCAAGGACAGCAAAACGCTCGTGGGTATCACAACCAGTGCCACTCAACTTTTATCTCACTTTATCGTAGCGCCATCTTTACGTGCAGGTTTTAGATTGAGAGAATGTATCAACCAATAAATTTATTTTCTTTCTGTTCATTGTTAATTGACCACCATAGGCGTGTGCAATCTGAAGAAATATCAAAATCATTGTATTAGGAATCGATTATATAATAAATTGATTCCAGAATAATCTCTACTGTTTCATCCATCGCATGATAATATGATATTGATATTAGTGAAACAATACGTGTTTTAGCTTTTCATCAGTGCAGTGTCTTATCCAGGATTTTTTGGTATGTGAAATCTCGGCTTCAGAGCATGGGATCCAGATGAAACTTATGGAGGGTGATATTGGGCCTGAATGATGAGATTTTATAAAAAAAGATTTTGTGATCGGAG